GTAACCATTTTTAATTTTCAAATAGTGCGTCATTAATTTGACATGATCAACGATCAGGGGAAATTTGTAAAAAATAATTAGCAGTAATGTCCTATTCTTTCTTTACCAATACTAACAAATAGATCATATATTTTTCCTGCTCTTTCCTTTGTTTTTTTCAACGCATCATTGGCAATATCATTGGGAAGTTGTTTTCGGATCTCATCATTAACAAGAGCCAGACACGCATGTTCCCCATGCTTCAAATTTCTGTAATGATCAAAACATTTTTTTATAGCTACACCAAAGTTGTAATAACATTTTATAACTTCTCTATTTGCAATTATATGTTTAGATTCGGCATGTAAAATTTTTCTATAGTGATATAAAAAATTATTGGTATTCTCACTGACTTCTATTACTTCCTCAGGAATTTCGGGTGCAGTAGTTAATAGTTCTTCAATAAGTTTTTTCAACATAGGAGAGTCTTCCTTCTTCTTTACCAGTTTCTTAGCTTTTTTATTGGATGATGAATCAGTAGCAGGTTCACCAATGCGTTTAGATGGTAAATTAGTTGTGGTGACATCAGGATTAATAGTGGCGGTGTTGGAGTCGGGATGGGTTGATTCTGTTAACAAACCCCCTTTGACTTCCTCATTGGAATTCTCATTGGAATCCTCATTCATAATTTCATCCACTGATTCAAGAGGATCGATTTGTAAATTCTTCCCTAGATTACCAACTATAGATGATACTCCACTCAACTGAGAATCATGCCTAGTATAATCTATTATCTCAAGCTTTTCATTACAATTGGGATAAGGGTATACATTCAAATAATCAAGTAAAATCTTATTTTCAAGACAAAGTCTATGGAACGCATGTCCACATTGCAATGTTGTGAAAGATTTGATATGAGGAGATGAAAAAATTTTCTTATTACATTCTGGACATTGCCCTAGCTTTGGAATATCCATACCATCGACAATGGGTTCTTTGAATTCTTTTAAGATATTATATGCAAGGGCTTTGAGATTAGAAATAGCCATAGTATTGATTTTTTATAAGTTAAAGCGTTCCATTCCAATAATGCTTTGTTTTTATAATGTTAGTATTTCCGCAAGTCAAACAATCAATAAATTAGTAATTTCGGAGCAATATTTCTCATGAATAGGGTTAATTTATTCTCTATGGACGATCTCAGACGATTTACCTACCCTACAACAAGCACACTAATTAATTAGACGTTTTTCTATGGGTGATCCGTTACCTTTGCCAATCATAATATTTGCATAATTTCTCTGATAGGTAGGCCTGAATCGATGTCAAAAAAACAAGCTTAATGCAGATCCGTTACCTTTACCAATCGTAATATTTGCATAATTTCTCTGATAGGTAGGCCCTGAATCGATGTCAAAAAAACAAGCTTAATGCATGGAGTGCACTTTCTCTTTTTTATACAACAACAATACACACCTCTTATTTCGGAAGAAATGGTATTCGTGGAGTCATGAATTTTTTTCTTGGAAAAAGTGATTGGCGTTATAAATTATAACACGCACGTGATTTTTTACGATATTTTGAATAAATCTATTTCTTATATAAAAGAACATGACATCGGAACTTGAATCATTGAATTGTAGAATTGGAACAGACTGCAAAAGAAAAAGATGAGCTTAAGGCTAGAGAGAGTACCAGACGCGAAGCTGAGAATGTCAGAATTAAGACACGATTTTGAGGAGCTCAAACAATAAACTCAAGTCATTATTAATGTACAAAGAGATGAACAAAAGCGTTTAAAAAGGCAGTATAGCGATTTTATGAATATTCATCATTTATATAGTGATTTTTCTTTTACGTAATATATAATTATCTTTTCAAACATGTCTAGCTCATCATTATTATCTTTTGAAATCTTCGCCCCATTATATAACTTTTTGAAGGCGTCTCCCTTGGATAAATAACCATTTCGAATATAATCACACAACAATGGAATTGTTTCAAGTTCAAACAGAAGAAGACCTCAATTCTCTCATGAAAATCTTATTAAAGAACGTAGGCGATATCTTAAATCATTACAAAATATTGACCAGGTATTTTCCCGCTTTTATATTAGTATATTAGAGAATAAAATGATGAATATGATGTCTAGACATTAATAAGTGTAATGAGATTGAAAAAGCGACACATCGTCAGCGAGAATTAGGGAAAATATATAGATCTGTTAGATTTTTATTAACCCAGATTTGTATGTATCCAGTAAAAATGATTGGTGCGAAGAATTTTTTTCATGTACATGAAATGTAATAGAATTAAAATAATATATTTAATTTTGATAACACTAAACATTTAAAACACTTTACGATGTTCCCTGATTTCGAACACGCCTTTTTTGGTGGCTTGTACTTCGTAAACTCTGCCTAACGATGCACGATTTCTTTGAAAATATAACTCCCTAAGTTCACTTACGATGTCTTCAGCTAATTGTGCTTTGCAATGAGTTCGAGTATCGGAGACACTAAAGATGGATTGCGATGGGGACACAATTGTGTTTCCGACGTGATATGCTTGGTCAGGTTTTACTTGTTGACAGCCATCGAATGCTTGAATAACTGATTGAAACATAGTTAAAAAAATGAAACAAAATAATTTCTTTTTAAGATATTTTCATACATACTAGCAACCACATTAGTTTTTTGAAAATTTCGATTTTGGAACCCAGCATCATTCCATTCTATTACTAGCAACAATGGATCGATATAAGTATCCTCTACTTCTTCAAGGTTGTCATTATTATTTTTTTTTGCGTTATTAACCCACCATTGACTTATAATTTCTTGTGTTTCTTTATTGAATCTGTTTAGCGAGTCCGGCATTTTCTTACTGAATAGACATTCAAATTAAGAATTTTTGCTAAAAAAAATAAATTAGACGTAAATGAACATACCTAAAAAGTACCCAGTATCCAAACAAAGTAACGACTAAAAGTGTTAATATTAATATGGTAAACATTTTGTTGTTTGGTAAAGATTTACATAGAATGTATGTATATTATTAATATTAAATATTAATATATTAATATGGACAAAACGTAATTATGACGTAATAATGGGTAAACCGGATTAATAATCATTTTTTTCACACAAATTTAAATTCCGTTTAACGAAATAAATTATATATGAATGTGGAAGAAGCAGAGCTTTGAATCTGTTATTTGAATTTTTCAATGATATGTATTTTTTGTACATTACACAAGTAAAACTTATTTCAGAAATTGTGATATCAAATCACATCTTTTATTTTAATACATTTTTATTACGGTATTAATACTGAAAAAGGTACGTTTTTAATCATATGAAATACCAGCTTATTGCTTCACAGACACTTTATGACTATATACCTACCTATTTTTTTTTCACATCACAGCAATGGATACAGCATATGAATCCGGATAGTCTACTTCACATTTATTTTTGCTAACATAGAATCTATTTCTGCGATTTGGGCATCAAAAGGATTATTATTCTTAGGCTGAGATTTAGGTTCGGGTTCAGTATCAGGATTGGTATCGGAATCAGAAGAAGTGTCACCCTCAGCATAATAAGTTCCAGAATCAAAACGGTCGATCTTATGTCTCATTGCAATTCTACAAAGTAAACTAAGATGTTGGGCCGTTGGATTTTGACTACCATGAACTTTAGAAGCATGTTTACTCCCTATTTTTCTCAATCTTTTGGCAGTAATACCATATGCATTTAAAAATTTGCTAAATGCTCTAATATTGCGTTTTCCATTATCACTATATACAGGATCACGTAACTTTTTCATTGCTATGGCATCTTGAATCCAAGTAAGTAATTCTCTTGCACGTTCTGGATTCTTTTCCATGGAAAGGAATTGTCGAGGCTCAGCCTTTTTCTCTCCCTTATTCTTAATATATCCTGTACAATACCAATAATAACCGGGTTTGTACCATTCCGGAGGGTCTGTTTCATCCGGTGAGTTGGAGACTCGAAGCTTGGCTTCTTCATAATGGATAATACGAAGAGTAGTAATTTCAGCGGGTCTCATGCTCAACATCATAATCACGTCTGCAAGATCCTGCATTGTTGGAATTTTAGTAGTATCGATACTTTGAATTCTTCTAAGTCCCTCATCTAAGGAGAAGTGTTTAGGAGTATTAGGAGTTTTAAACGGATTGGTTAATCGTTGTACAAGTTCCTTCTTCTGAATTTCGTTAGAATCTTGAGTAAGTGCCGAAAATTTAGCATATATATCAATTACTTTAGAATCAACTCCAGATTCTTTCAATTCCTTACGGAAAAGCGAAAGACGTGAGCTGGATGCAACAATTTCTTCATCACTATCATTTTTTGTCTTGACTAAATCTAAAGCATGTAAGTAAATATCATATGGATCACCACTTTTAGCGCAATATTGAGCTCTCTCTTTGATGGTAAGTTTTTCATTCCTTTTATCCGGTACAAGAGCCTTGATCTGATCTTCTTTGAATAAGCGTCGACGAAGAGCTTCTTTTACGCTTTTTCGGGCTTTCCAATCTAGAAGCATAGCACCGAGCTCACTAGCATAGTCGCGTAATTGAGATGGGTTGGATTCGGCGGACAAGTTATATTTTTTTAGGATCTGGTCCAAAATGGAGGTAAAACTAATACTTTTGGGCTTTGAGGTAATTGTTTCTTTATTATATATCGGTTTTTCGATATGCATGGTTTGAATAGACATTCCGTTATTATTTAAAGATATTTTATCTCATTATATATTCGAAAAGTTTAAATACCTACAATTTCTAATACAGGGTGTTGTCCTAGACATTCCGCCAGATTTCATTCACTAAATTATCGGATGAGGCAAAAAAAAAAAAACGATACATAATTAGCGAAGCGAGCACGGCTAATATATTTTAATCTGAATTTTTATATACGATATTTGTAAAGGACGAAAAAAGCCCCCTTTACCAAAGTTTCTATTAACAAAATTTACTTCTATTATATTGATATACATTTAGTAATGATTTACAATTTACCATAACATACCATTTTCCTGGAGTATGTTAATCGTTTTTTTCCATTCCTCGTCAGTATCGAGCCATGATGATGTAATTCCTTTATCCTCGAGACCGCGTCGGATTATTTCTTCACTTATTAATCTTTCTCGCACTGTCATATCCATATATTCACTGGGATCTTCTTCGGCCTCCTTTGCATAACCACACATTCTCGCATCGGTCTGCATTCTATCACGGAATGCTATCGAATCGAGCTTATCCTTCTCAGTTATGGTAACGAATTTATCAGGATCCTCTCCAAGCTCAACAGCTTTTTGCCTTAATCGTATTTCTCGTTGCTCTCTGGTTTGATATCCGGGTGTGTATGATATCTGCTGGGGAGGTGCTTCGTTGCTGGCTCTCAGTTCATTTTCCACAGATTCAATAGGAGATGGTTCAACTTCATCATTCGCTGGTTTAATGATCTCAGAAGCTGGTTCGGATCTATCGTCTACAGATTCTACATGTTCGATCTCGGGAGGCAGAGATATATTGGTAGACTTGGATGACGAAGCAACTGGAGATTCATTTGTTATAGAATCGAAGAGATCCTGGGTCATGTTAGTAATGGGTGAAGCAGGTGATACATTCTTACCTTTTTTGATGTGATCGGTGGTCGATGACTCAGATATCTTTTTTTCTGGTTCGGTAGGTGTAATTTCAGATATATCGAATACAGGGATATCCGTGGAAGTGTTGGTAAATGTCTCGGCTTCAGGTGTGTCTAAAAATTCCTCGATATCGCCAATGGATTCGCGTAACTTAGCTACTATTTTGGAACGGTCGATGATGTAAATGGATTCCCTTTTTCCATTAACTCGTACCTGTTTTTTCTCTATTCCTATTGGTGGGAGAAAACCTCCAAATTTATTGTTACTGATTCGTCCCTCGCCATTGCTTTCACACCAAGTGATATAATTTTGATATAGATTTCCGCAAATTGGTTTTTCGATTTGATTCTCAGACCATGATGAAATATGTTGTATTACAAAGCGTATAGGGTTAGAAAGTTGCTTCATCATTGTATCTGTTTTCATTTTGGTAATTGGTTTTTCGATTTGATTCTCAGACCATGATGAAATATGTTGTATTACAAAGCGTATAGGGTTAGAAAGTTGCTTCATCATTGTATCTGTTTTCATTTTGGTACTAGGAATATCTTGTGGATCCCAATTAGATAAATCACGATTTAAAAGATATCTCATAACTACTCCTGGTGCATCTGGATGTTCTAGTATTTTAGCCAAACGTTTGAAATATGGTATATTCCCTCTACAGCGTGCAGATACATCAAAACAAACTATACGAGCATCTCCTGCATCTATTTTAAGTGGTGCATCCTGATTGCTTGTAACCATAAATGCAGAGTAATCTTTTAAATGAATAGGTTCAAGACCTTTACGTTCTATAGACACTTTTGGTTCCGTTATGAGTGCTTTAAGATGCTCGTTAAATTTATGCCATTCTCCGCTAGCCATCCCTGTCTCATTCATAACTACTAACTTTTTACCTTGAATAAGACTGTTGAATTTTCCAAGAATTTTCCCTAAATCAGATGTTGCATAATAGAGCTTTGGTCCTAAGACTTTATCGCCAATAAAATCAATGATAATATTTTTTCCGCATTGTTGAAGAGTAGACTTTAATACACAGATTGAACGAGGTTTTTTTTCTGGTTTTTGCACTAAGAATGCCCACCAGTTCCAGATATATTCGATAAGTTCATTATTTTCATCACAAATTACATTTTTTACGTGCCAAAGGATAGGATCCATAATTTCTTTATTAATTTCTGGTGCTGGTGTAGCTGTAAATCCCAGGAAAAGATTAAAGAAATTTGTTTTTGGTGGAATTACGTTTGGTGGGTATGGAAGAAAGTTGATTTTGCGATAACGAATTAGACTTTTGGTAACTGCTCGATCTATTAATGATCTTAACTTTATTGATTCTCCTCCAAATTCGATTATATTAATCTCATAATTAGCAAGTTCTAGTTTGGGTACAAATTCAAAGGTAAGCCCGCCATCTTCATCTTCATCTTCAACTTTAAATATCCAAAACTTTTTACCTCTATCGATATATGCAATTGTTGCTTGGATAGCTTCGTAAACCTTATTACGGGTATACTTTTCTCCCGATGAACACATGTCAATTAAGTCGCCCCATACAAAACGATCATTTGGATCCGTTATTCTAGGTTGGTTTATTTTTTCTGGAACCAGAAGGCTCTCTTCTCGTTCCGAAGTTTTTTCTTTAATGGTCAACTTTATTGAAGGTTTTCTAGATCCAGCTTCCCTACTATTATTCGCACGATGACAATAGAAACTATACGATTTTTTGTTTCGGATAACATATGCATTATCGCTTGTATGTGGATCTTTATAACCATATTCTCGATAACATAATGGGCAAAATGCTGGAGTTACCCGTTTAAGAGGAAAAGTATCAGGAAAACTTTCATGTGGACATGAAACTTCGTATCCTTCAATTTCGAATTCTTCTAATAATTTTGCAATCAATTCGAGTTCGATTTCAATAGTTTCAGTAGCTTCGGTATATGTGACAGAGATTCCACTTGTTTCTAATTCTGGAACAGATATTCTATTCATTATCGATTCCGGGACAGATAAAAGAGGACTATCTATAACTGGTGCTTCATCATGAGGAGGTCGAAGCATAAAATCAAAAACATTCCCATTTTCTGGTATAACGGCTCTTTTTGGACGAACATTCTCATTAGTTTCTTTATTATTCTTTGGAGTTCCGAGCATTCGCAAGGAAAATGGGTTTTTATTTGTAATATTGTCAACAATTTTCTTGTCTTGTAGAGACACTGGGAGTTTCTTACGAACAAGTTCAACGAATAATGCAACCTTGGCAATGTTTTGAAGCCGAAATCCGAAAGTTGAGATATGGTATGACATTTTTTTCTGGTCGCTACTATTGGCAACAGTTAAAGTTTTAATATCCCACTCTGGATAAATTTCAATACATACCTCTCTGAAGGCCCCGATTAGAGCATAATAAGCCTGTTTACGTGTAAGTTTGGGGTCAAAGGTATTTAGTGTCTCTTGGGGTAAATCGAAATCGATAAAAGGGCGGAGTGGACCATCACCATCAATGAATTCGTGTAGTGAATGTCCTTGACGCTCTGTAAATATATTTTCTATTCCATCCTCAGAATCTGTACCAAGGAAATGTCTTGGTCTTACACTGTCACCACGGATTTTATATAAATATTCCGCAACACTTTCAGCTTTAAAGCCCCGGTGGTAGAACGAGATCGGAAGAGCACACGTCTGAACTCCAGTCACTAGCTTATCTCGTATGC